AAATGATAATGCTCCTAGGACAGATAATATTTCCCTAAGGGTTTTGAAGGAGGTTAAAGATTGTATATATGAGCCACTTGCTACTATTTTTTGTCAGTCCTTGAATAGTGGGGAGGAACCAGAGATTGGAAGATAGCTAATGTAACATCTCTTTTCAAGGGAGGTTATAAAAATTGTCCCTGTAATTATAGACCCATTAGTCTTACATCAGTTGTGGGAAAAATTTTGTAAAGTCTGTTAAAAGATTCTTTGCAAAGTCATTTAACAAAGTTTAGAATTTTATTGAATAGTAAACATGGTTTCACTAAGGGAAAACCTTGCTTTACAAATCTTTTAACATTCTTTGAAAAGGTTAATGCTTATGTAGATGAGGGTAAGGGTGTAGATTCGATGTCTCTGAAAGCATTTGACAAGGTGCCACATAAAAGGCTTGTAAAAAAAAATTAGCTGTATAGGTGTGGGGGATAAGTTATAAATTGGATAGAAGATTGACTGGATGGAAGAAAGCAGAGGGTTGTTACAAATGGAGTTAAGTCAATTGGATTAATGTCACAAGTGGGGTACCTCAGGGCTCAGCCTTAGGACCTTGGCTCTTTTTGATTTACATCAATGACATAGATGAAGGAATAGTCAGTAAATTACTTAAATTTGCAGATGATATTAAGGTCTTGGGTGTTGCTAGCTATGAAGAGGATGCTGCTGATTTACAAAAGGATTTAGATCATTTAGTGAGTTGGGTGAATAAATGACAAATGGGTTTTAATTATAATAAATGCAAGATAATGCATGTGGGTTATCATAATTTGAATTATAAGTATAATTTGGATGAGAATAACCTTAATAGTGTTATGAAGGAAGGGGATCTTGGTGTAATAGTTGATCAGTCTGTAAAGCCATCCAAGCAGTCTGCTGTTGCTAGTGGTAGGGCAAATAAGATTTTAGGTTGTATCTATATAAGTATTGAATACAAATCTAAAGAGGTTATACTTTCATTATATAGGTCACTAGTTAGGCCACATTTGAAATACTGTGTTCAGTCTTGGGCTCCTTACCTTAGAAAGGACATTGAATTGTTGGAAAGGGTTCAGAGAAGGGTTACTAGAATTTTGCCTGGGATGGAGAGTTTATCATATGACGAGAGGCCGAAATCTCTCAAATTGTTTTCTCTTTGGGAAAAAAAAAGTTTGGGGGGATCTGATTGAGGTGTTTAAGATTGTAAAGGAATTGATAGTGTATCATCTTTTTTTATATTTAACAATGAGAATAGTAGGACTAGGGGAAACAAATATAAATTTTGGCAAGGTGGGAGTCATCTTCAGCTAAGACAATTTTATTTTTTTAATGGTGGTTGGCCTTTGGATTGGGTTGCCTTCAGATGTTGTAGAGGCAGTAAATTTAAATGAGTTTAAGAAAAAGCTTGATAAGTATATAAATTAAAAGGGCTGGGTTTAAAAAATGTTTATTTTAATTTTTTTAATCATATTAGTTTTGAAGATGGAACAGCTGAGATAGACCAATAAATCCCATGTTGTCCCAAAATATTATGTTATGTTAACTACAATTTCAATTTTTAAGAGTAATACTGATCATACTTTCATTTTAATAATAATGGATAAGTTTGTAATGAAACATTAGAGTACAAATTTTTGTAAAATTATTAATTTTTGCAGTAAAATTTTTGAAGGCTCATACACTATGCATTACATACACGTAAGAAAAGTTAACAAAAGTACGGTTACAGTATGGGCAGTGTTTTTATTTCAGGAAGACTTCTTCTATAAAGAAAGAAACATTCCAAAGTGTTCTAGTTTTATTTTGGTCAGTAGAGTTTCAATACTGTTTTTAATAATAAGATATTATTGGGCAGATGATTTTGGTATTAAACACTGTGTGATAGTAATGAAAAGATTTGTGGTAAATAATAATAACAGCTTGTGAGACATAATTGTAACTTGTTACTTTAGTACTTTTTTCATGTGGTGGTATATCTAGGAACTTGCAGCTGCTTATTCTGAAAAAAGCAGACTGGAGGAGGAAAATCACTCCCTACTTACTGGATTGGCTAGTCTGAAGATGAAGTAAGAAGGTTTATTCTTTGTATAGACCACTTAGGAAACAGCTTTTTGTTAGAGTCTCAATCTATTTTTGCAGCTCCTAATATACATAGTTAAGTTCTGACAGAATTCATACTGCCTACTTTACTAGTGTATCTGTATTTTTACTGTAATAATAAGAACCATTTGTGTTCGTGTATTCTTTTTGTTGACAAAAAGCACTTGTAGTTGTATTTTTAAAACCTGTTTACTCTATACTGAGAAGTTCTTTGGAAGTAAATTGTTTGTGTCCAAATTTATTATTTTATCCTAATCTTTTCTATTTTATGATATTCATTAGAGGGAAATAAAAGGGCCTCGTGATTATATGAAAGTCATATTCTCCACCAGTGTTAATAATATTATATTAATAGAATTCTCTTTAATTATTCTTCTACCAAATGAACCTTGTAAGTTTGCATTATTGAAAAATGTAAAATGTATTTTATTTTTAAAGATTCTTACTGTATTTTATTTAAGTACTGTTGTTCATTAGCTAAATTAATATAGGTAAAGTTTTTATAATTCACATCTGTATGAATAACAGATGTAGAAAATGTTCTGTTCAGAATGTTAATGGGAAGATTTTGCTATTGAGAAAAAAGAAAACTGGTTGAGAATTCACACAGATCGGTATTAATTAGTACATTACATTAATGATAAATGTGTATATTATATTGAACAAAATATTTTAGAAACAAAATGTTTGATGAATTTTTAAAAACAACCTATCATAGTAGCAAAGAAGTGTGAACATCAGGTGAAGGAGTATTCTGAAAGTTGTGTGTTTGTGATTGTTTTTTGTTAACATATAGAAGTATTCTTGGATTACTGTACTCAGAAAGCTCATGAGTATCATTAATTCTTCCAACTTTGTTTTAAACTTCCTGTTTTCAGGAATGCATGCATATGTATCTATAACTATTTATTTGAGGTAGTTTCAATTCATAATCAACACTGCAAAAGTGTTCAAGTCTAGCTTATTGTAAGTTGGAAAAAAGTATTGAGAATAAAACATTCCATCATAATTTATCAAAAAAGTATATTTTACAAACAATTATGTTCTTTTTCAAATCATCTTTAGAACTTTGTAGGAAAATTTGCATTCTAAAGAGTTTTATAGTGTTTAGATTTATTGAAGAATGAAAATTTTTGAAAAATTTTCTTGGTATTTTTGAAGATTCCTTACAAATTAGTCTCATAGTTAGTCAATTAGAGGTTTCTCTAGAACTTAAACTGACTTGACCCGTATCTTTTTTGAAACATTCTTCACTTAATTGAAACTATTTCTGATGATGGTAACTTAGAATGAAAGTATGATGCTTCATTATTTCTTAATTAAATATCTATATATATTATCCTACAAAATTAAACCTAGTAATACCAAAATATTTAATGAGTTTCATTTTATTTGTTAGAAATATAATAAACAAAATATGAACTCTGGAAATCAAGATGGTATTGGTTTTCCAAACAAAATAACATTCTAATTTCATTTATTTCTAAATCACTTTACTAATATATAAATATTTGTACAATTCTAATCTCCTTTCAGTGGCTCAGTGGTAAGTCTATGGACGTAAATGCTAAAAAACGGGTTTTGATATCTGGGGTGGGCACAGCACACATAGACCATTGTTTAGCTTTTCGCTTAACTAAGAACAAACAGAAGAATTCTAATAAAGTGCAATTCATTAGCTTTGAGAAAAGTTTAACTGAAATTATTAATTTTTTTCTGATACATAGGCTTACAGTTTTAAAGTTGTTAGTAGTGCAAAGGAGCACAAATCAACACTCATGTTTGTGATTTCCTCTTTTCACAAAAAATTAACAGTCTTAACTTAAAACATTTTATTGAAATGAAGGAAATTTTTTTAGTTGTATAAAATTTTTCCATATCTCCAATTTCATAGCAAATTATTAAATTTTGTGTAGTGTGTATTAAAGTTTAAATGTACATGTAAATGAAGCAAATTATTGTTCTCAGGTCATAGGTTTTGGTCTTAGATATTAGCTCTAACTACAGTGCAATTTTTTAATGCATTTTTTTACCAATTAATTTTTGCAAAATTAGTTAAGACCATTTTTTCATGATTTGGATATATATTTATTTTATATCTTATTAATTTTTTATATACATTAAATGAGTTTGATTGTCTGACTTAAAAATATAGTAATAAAATTTTAACTCTGAAAATCAATTCAGTTATTTCTTAAGCTCCTATTGGGCAAATAAATATTATGGAAAATAGAATGAAAATGTTTTCAAAAGGTCCATTCATTGATCTCTTATAAAGGGTTATTATGCTTAGTTTGAGTATAAAAGTAGCTATTTATAGTCAGGTTATTTTTTCACCACTGTCTTAAGCATCTGGGTTAAAATTTAAACTGGGTTTAAGAACATTCCTTAGTTGTCAGATTGACAGATTATAAATAGTTAAAGTAAAATGTCACAGATCTTTTATTATTTTTCTTGATCATTTAATCAACTTTTAAGAGAATATAGTCTTATATAAAACTAAATGAATAATTCTATAATTTTCTCATGAGTGAGACAAAATATTATTTTTAGGAATAAATCAATCAATTTTTCCAACCTTCTGTTTGAAATTGAAATGGAAACTTGGCTATTTATGTTTAATATTTTGACAGTTGCATTAGTTGTATATCAAATTTGATGTTCAAGTAATGCACATTTTAATTTAAAAGAGTTAATGTAATTATTTACCCATTATTTTAAAATGGTGAAATTACTTGGTAGAAATATTAAGCCTTGAACAGTCTTATGAAAATTATTTTTTCTTAAGATTGGTAGACCTCCATTTAATCAAAATATTGAGAAGTTATCTTATGAAATTAGTGATTAAATGTTCTTTTATTTTCTCATTACAAAACAATACTAGCTCAGCCTTAAACATTCCAGTGTCAACTCTCCAAAAGAACAAATTTACCATAATAAATTCTTAATTAGAATTTGAATTTTGTAATTATTAACTTAACTATAATGGTTATATAAAATGGTGAATAACTGTTCATCATAAATATTTTTTTAATGATATTCAACGAGATTTTGATTTGAATTTTAACAGCAATATTGCACATTTTTGATAGCAAACTGAAATCGGGTTATTACTGCAGGTACTGCTTTTTATTTTGTAAACCCATTTCGCAAAAATAGGGAAGAAAAGAGAAGATATGTTATACCTAGATACTCTAATTAATTTATGTGTGAATGACATTTATTATGAAGTGTTCTGTTGATATTTATAAGAAATATGTGAAGGTTTATTTATTGCTTTTTTTGGTTGTTTGGGTCTTTTTTGAAATTTTATTTATCTCACAAATTAAGAATTACCATTGAGCTAGTATTATGTGTATTAGAATTATTATGTAATTGAGAAATCAAAAACCACAAAATATAATGTTCTTTTAAAAATTGATTGAATGGTAAACAGTTTACCAAATCATCTTGATATGATATGTTTTTCTATGTAAATGTCAATTGGAGCATAACAACTCCATTCTGAAGGAAAAAAACTAATTTTTTTTTATGTGGTTATGAAGTTACCAATCTATATTTACTTGCTAGTTAAGTCTTATAATGTGTAGATTTTCAAACATCCTTAAAACAAAAATAAATCTGATATTATGATATTTTTTACTCTCTCTCTCTCTATTGTGTAGTTGTTAGATTATTCACATATGTTTTGTGTTTGAAGGGCATGTAGGTAAAGAATTTGTGTATTTTATGCCACTTCAAGTTTATATACCTGATTTGAAAAATCTGGTTTAAGAATATTTCTTTGAAGATCTTATTTAGTAATTTGTTTTACACTGGCACTGATAAATAAAAAAAAAAATGCAAATTTGATGGTTGTTTAAATCAAATTCCATGTGTTTGCCAGATGTTAACTACTGTTAGTTTATATTGTTTGTATCAACTCTATTTAAACGTGTATTTTTAAGAGTAATTAGCTGAAGCATGGAATTTTCATAAGCTTGGCAGCTGCTTCATCAGTTTGGCACTATTGTCAAAGTGAGGAGAGAAATTAATACTTGAAATATTCCATTAAAAATTAAGAATTCATTTTATATGAATAAAAAAGTAAAAAAATGTAATGTTTAATTTTGTTTATACATACATATATAAGCTGAATGCCTGTCATATGATGAGAAATAATGATTAATTTTTCTTCTTAATATTACATCTAAATAAATGTTTTATGAACGTGTTTTCTAAAAATTAATTATAACCTAGTAATAATATATGTATGTATGGAGAATGACTATCTTATTTCTAGTACTTCACAAAAACAACACTTTTTATATCCCCTTTAAACAATATGACTGCTGTATATTTTTAAGTTATGTTAATTTGTTCTTCTTGATAAATTCTTATCAATTGAAACATGGGAAAAATCTGATTCTCAAAGACATTCCATCTTGGTCAAGAGTTATGAACCTACAAATTATTAATTGTGATGGTAAAGGCAGTGAATTTTATTTTGAATTCTGGGGCTTTTATTTGGACTGTCTTCCTGTTTTTGGCTTTTTTAGCCTGTGGAGCTGAAGAATCGTGCTTTAATTTAGGCATTTTCAAAATTGAAATGTGCTACAGGTAATTATAAAATTGCACCCGAAAGTTTCAATTGGACAAAATTTGGTGATGTTGCATCTATGTATCTCCTTGAAAACCTGTCAAACATAATGGGGGATTTCAGTTAGTATTATGATTTTTGTGTGCTAGAAATATCAAACATGGGGCATGCGTATACCCAATTCTATTTTATTACTCATCAGAATCTCTAACAACTTACCCTCAAATCTAATTATATGCCCAAAGTAGTGCATTGTCTGTTTTTTATATATATATATGGCTGAAAGAATTTTAAAAAGTCATACTTGCCTCTCATGGCAGAAAGCACATTGCATGTCAATTGTTACTGCAGAGGCCGAGATATGGGGTGACAGGCAGATGGCTTTTCATGTTTATCTAGTAGATTATTCACTTATTTGTTATACCCTAGAAAATGCCATTGACTTAAGCCTCTGTCGCCAGTTCATCAGTAACTATGAAGGCTTATAAGATTAAAAATCAGGTTTCTATACATGCAATGGTCACAGCATAGGTTATTCCATTATGTAGCCATTTACTTAACAACAAACAGATATTTAAGTTGCGAGTGGTTAAAAATTTTGTAAAGTTTATTTCTCACATTTTTAACGATATGCTATCAGAAGAGCTGAACATTTGATACACCATGGTCACCAATAAAATATTTTGTTCTTAAAGCATTTGTGAAGTTTGAGGTCACATCATACTTTATTATCACATGTGACATGTAAAGAAGTAATGTAAATTGTATTTTGTTCCTTAGACTTTGATTTTTTTTTCTTATGGGATAGC